AGTGTGTTTTCTCTATCTCGGGAACATAAAATGGATTCCCGCCTGTTTTCCCACGATTCATTCTTTCTGCATACAAGTGCAACAAAGTTGTAGGTGTGGCAGGACAAAACAAAGATTTTAGTTAAAAGGCGTAAATTATAGTTGGCGAGGCTCAAAAGTGAGTGAAGAGCGGAAGCAAAGTTTAGTTGAAGGATGCAGAGACCCAGTGGAAAAGGTGCAGAATTAATTCAATAAGACATAAAATTTTAGTGTGAAGGTATTAATATCAAAATGATTCCCCTCAAACTTGACAGCACATATATTTTTGGCAAAATCTTGCTTCTTCTCTTTCCCTTTCTCCTGTGTTCGTTGTTGTTTCACAGTTTCACTGTGATGTTTGGGTCTGTAATGCTCCATTAAGAAAATTTTCCGATTGATGAAATGTTTTTCAGAGGGAACAAGTAGTTCTACGCAGGCAACAGCAGCCATTCAAACTACTGGTTTATTGGACATACAACAGCTTTTACCAAGCTTTTCTGCCGCAAGTGGTTTGTTCCTAAATGTAATGGATGGGAAAAAGAGAAGGAGGAACAGGAAAAAGGAGGGAGAAAAGGAGAAGAGAGGCCTTCCTCACTGATGCTGGAAGGCGATTTTTCTTCATTTTCTGGAAGCAGGTGATTACTAAGCCCAGGCATCTCCAAGCATGCCATGTAGAGTTCATGCGGCTCAATGGGGTCCCTCTGAGCTTTAGCTGTTTCTTGTTATTTCTTGATATGACGTTAATCGATTGTCAGGGAATCCGGCAACATACATCCGTCGCTCTCGTCCTCACGAATTTTTTTCTGCTTGATAAATTTTGAACACCTGAAATCAGGAATGGCTGTTATTTATAGCATGGCAATTTTCTGGTCGTTTTGTTCAGTTTTGTATCACCTGATGGTCGGTCTGCAGTCGTGAAGATCGCTTCGTCACCTGAAGGGATTAACAAGCACTTGTCAAGGCCTTAATTGTTTCAAGGTGTCATTAATGGGCATTACCACTCCATCGTAAACATTGCCGCTGTTGGACTACGATGGGAACTAGGAACTCTTGGCAAAAGCAAAACAAAAAAATTGCACTTTTGAAAGTTTTACTGAAAATTTCATCTTTTTTCCAAAGAAACAGTGGATAGTTTTTAGTATGGCGATTGATTCGTATTTGCAGGACAGGTTTCCATGCCGCTGAAAGTAAATTTTCCTGGACTTGAAGCGTCAACGGTTCAAGCACTACTGGAAACATGCTGCTGCCGCATAAACGAAACTGAGGTTAGTGTTCAAGATTGCATTGAATAATTGCAATCAACATGGTGGCTGTATTTGTGCGGACAATTCCATTAAGTTACTGCGGATTATACGGGTAAAAAAAAAATGCTTGTTAATGGTAGCTTCTTGAGGTTTTTGCTTCCAGACATTAGTAAATTCCAGAGTTTTTTTCTTTTTCTAGAATAGCGAGGTTAGTGGGGAGCGGCTAAAGGTTTTTTCGTATGCTTAAGGAAAAGAAGTTCTTTTTATTGCTGAAGTTAGTGACTGATAAAGGCCTGCTGAAAGAAGCTAGTGACCGATGAAGGATCATAAAGTTTTTAATAATACTCATTTTTGACGACATGGCACGTGCACATTGAATGGTTTGTAGGTACTGAGTGGATGTATGCAACTTTGGATCAGAGGCTTTTGCAGGGCATGTGGAAGCATCCAAGTAACATCAGTAACGTGGAATACCAATACCGGTTGTGTGGGCGGCTTTGTTATTTTTGATGAATTATAATTTAGAAGTATTTTTAGGTATGCAACTCAAGGCCAAAACAACTGGCTTAGCTGCCCTTATATGCGTGTTGTGTGTGTATGTTTGCATGTGTGTGGACATGCGTGGATAGCTGTGTATGGGTGGATATATATGGATATGTGCAGGTGAATGTGTATAGGTGGTGATGAGTGTACGAGTGGGGGTGCGGGTGAGTGTGCGTATGCGTGGCTGGGTGAGTGTTTGTATATGTGTGTGTGTGTGTGTGCGTGTGTGTGTGTGTGCGTGTGTGTGTGTATGTGTGTGTGTGTGTG